CCAAACCCAAACCCAAACCCAAACCCAAACCCAAACCCAAACCCAAACCCAAACCCAAACCCAAACCCAAACCCAAACCCAAACCCAAACCCAAACCCAAACCCAAACCCAAACCCAAACCCAACCCAAACCCAAACCCAAACCCAAACCCAAACCCAAACCCAAACCCAAACCCAAACCCAAACCCAAACCCAAACCCAAACCCAAACCCAAACCCAAACCCAAACCCAAACCCAAACCCAAACCCAAACCCAAACCCAAACCCAAACCCAAACCCAAACCCAAACCCAAACCCAAACCCAAACCCAAACCCAAACCCAAACCCAAACCCAAACCCAAACCCAAACCCAGAACTAAAAATAGAATTTTTCTAAACCCAACGTTCAAACCCTAGCCCAAAATTATAAACTTATTCAAATATCATTAAATTTTATATCATTCGATTGGAAATGATGAGTAGAACAACGTGGTATATTTAGTTTTTCAATTTATAAAATATTAACTTTGTAAATAGGGTCAGATTAAAATTTCATAAATGAAACCATAGGAAGAATGATAATTTCAAAATCCTTTAATGAGATTATATAGTCTATATCATCAATAACAACATTCATAATCACTTTCATATCAAATTTCAAAAGTTCAAGTCTGTAGATATAAAAGTATAGAGTGAAAAGGGAAGTTGTGAAGTACAATAGGTCAACTATAACTTTTGAGTTTCTCATCAAAACATATTAAATCCTGACATGAAAATGTTCCATTTGATTAGTAAACATCGAATATCAAATTTATTTTAACTTTCATATTTAAAGATTTCTTCCCTCAATCACACATGGACTACTATGATGAAAAGGATGAAATCTTGAAAAAGGACCACCTATTGAAACTTTACCAAAATGATTTACATGATCTATAATGATATAGAATTCAATTTCATGTCCTAATAATCAGAAATGGTATCATGGGAAGGTAAATGTTGATATTTTATGGTTGACTTTAGAGAAAGACAAGTCAGACCAATTCTATCAAATACGTCACTTCAA